ATCGATCAAATTTTTGAAAGATTTAAAAGTTGACTTTTGACACGGTAACAAAGACACTTTATGGCACATGTACCTACAGTCTTAATTACCAGCCAATGAAATTCTTGAATAGCAACTTAACCTTTATTTAATTTTGAGCCACAATAGTTAAGAATCGCTAGCTGGGAGCTGAAGCTCACAACACAGTTATTTAATGAAAAGAATACTAAATGCTTAAAAGAGTAGAAAACTGCAATTTAAACTCTTAATCAATTTTTCACTTCTCATGTCGAAAAAAGATTCATTATGCACAATTGCAAAAAATATATTTCGATCTCCCCTCAAATCTCGCCCATTAAGCTCTAATCAACCAACTATCTTTTAAAGAAAAAGAAGAAATGATAAAACTTCAAAACAATTGACTATTGTTCAATTTTTCTTCATTACTTCAAATATTTCCCTCACTTGAAAAGTAAATATTGCTTCTATCAGCATATAGCAGCGTAAGAGCAATTGCAGAAAATAAAAATGGCTAACAAAAAAACACTTGCCGAAACATCAAATCGGAAGATGATTGTCATCAATTAGCCAACCCCAAAACTCAAACCGCCAAACTTCACACCATAACTTCACGAAGTACTGACAGGTGAAATACTTTTTTTAAACTCAGGTCGTCCAGTCGTTGCCAATGGTATAAATTTCTTTTCAAAAATAGAATAGAAGTAAGGAAGTTAAACAGAAAAAACCAAACCGAGCAAAAATTTTCAGATTTAAATATTTGCTACAGAGTAATAAGAAATTGGATCTTTGGATCATTTTGTACGCATTTCAGCATCAAGCAGAAAAGTTTTTTCTATCTCTTCCAGAAACCGTTAACTAAAATTTTTGGGTCAAAAGTTACTAAAAAGTTATCGCTTTCAACTTGAAAAAATTAAGTTTTTCTTTAAAAATAACCCAACTTGGATATGGATATGGTTAAATAGTGTTGGCATAAATACTAAGCGAACCTCTAAAAATGACCGCAACTCCTGAAAAATCAAAGAATAGAAAATACAAATCATGTCAGATGTTCAACAAACCTTTATTAGTCAATAAAATTAAGGAAAATGTTGATTAAATTTATTAGCTTCGATTTTTTCTACAGGTAACTCAACTCAACTTAAATGAGTATTGCATGTTGTGATATCGGGCTTGAACCTGCAAGAGTAGTTTTTGCTTGATGTTTTAGATTCCAATCTTTCTTAAAGCAATCAAGTTTTATCAGTTGTTGTCCTGGTTCTTTTTTCTTCGGATGCCGGAACTTGGTGTTTTTTTTTGTATTTTAAATAAAAGAATGAAGATAAAATCAAATTGGCGTAGCCAGGACTGGAGTTGGTGGTAAGCTTAAACTTCCGATCAAAATCAAACTGAAAAATGAGAGATTTGAGGCGACGTTTTTAGACAATCACTATTTTTCATTGACTAAGTGTTTGCAATCCAGAGTTTTCAGTGCGCGGATCTCTGATTTTTTTTTCAATAATGATTTCAAATTTTTTACAGATGCTCAACTAAATCTAGACAAACTCGCTTTGTATTCTTATCCCTAACAGTTTGTTGTAAAGGTTTTCATTGGAGACACATTAGCTGAAATGGGTAATATGTCATTTTCGAAAAAGTTCTGACTATGAATGAAGTTTTTCCTAAAAACTACAGTTTATTGTGAGTAAGGTAATTTGAAAGTATGTCCAATTCTCGATAGGTCCGTCAAAATCCCATAAAAAAGCTCAATTAATTAGAGTTGACACTTTTTTTGAGAGAGTTAATTTTCACCAATCTAGAGAAAAAAAAGTTTTTTTTTGTTCACCAATCGCTGATGTCACTAGAGGGCATTTGTATATCCAGCCAAACTAAAAAACCAAAGAGCCACAGCTTCTTTTTATTCTCAGAGTCGAGAAACACATTGTTATTTACCAACAATTTTTCACAGATGCTTCTCATTTCACCATGGCAGCTTGCATAACTATCCGAATTTCGAACAAAAAGCATAAAAAGGGTTCATTCATGATTAGAAGAACTAAAGGAAAAAGCAAATTATCGTTTGTTCGAACAAAAATAAGGAAATACTGTCAAAAACAAACGTTCAACAGTGGCACCAACTACCAGGTTACAGGAACCCAGCTTCAGGATGTTTTCCGCTACAAGATGTGAAACAACTTTGATTACAACCACCAGAAATTTGACTATTACCGGGAAAAATTTTGATCTGAATCACAGCGCAGCGAGACTCAAGTACGCAACAGGTTAACACAGAGTCTTTTTATTTCGACTGTGCAGCATAAGCAAAGACTATACTTTACGAGCAATCGCAAGAAACTAGCTTCCTCGCAAACTCAACACACTAGCCTTCGGCAAACCATTGAACACCTTGCCAGAGATAAAGACTTGACACCAAAGACGCTATACTACCCTGATGACTAATAATGGATATATTCGAAAATTTCACCAATTCCTTGTGCAACTATGTATCCCATTATATTGCACCAAAATGAACCATCAATTGGACTGATAATTGAACATGCTCATGAGTCAAATTCTCAATAGGTGCGATAAAGTCCAATAAAGAAGCTCAATTAAGTGGAGTTGATTCTTTTTTGAGTGAGTGTTTTGACACAAGAAAAAAAAAATTTTTGTGCAATAATCGCTGATGACACTAAAGGGCAGTTGTATATCCAGCTAAACCAAAAAAAATAACGAGCCACAGCTTCTCCTTTGCTTTATTAATTTGCAACATGTTTTCACCGATGCTTCTCCTTTCGCCAAGGCAGCTTGCATGTCCATCCAAGTTTCGAATAAATTGCATAAAAAGTCTTCATTTATGATTAGAAGAACCAAGGGAAAAAGAAAAATTTCTATTATTCGAACAAAATTAATAAAACAGTGTCAAAAACAAATGATCAACAATGGCGCCAACTCCCAGGTTACAGGAACCCAGCCGATCAAGCTACAAGAGGTTTTCCGCTACAAGATATGAAACAACTTTGATTACAACCACCAGAATGTTTATTTTACCGGAAAAAATTTGGTCTGAATCACAGCGCCGAGACTCAACTACAAAACAGGTTAACACAAACTCTTTTAAGTTCGACTGTGCAAAGCAGGCAAAGACTATACTTTACGAGCAATCTCAAGGAATTAGCTTTCTCGCAAACTCAATGCACTAGCCTCCTGCATACCATTGAACAACTTACCACAGATAAGCACAAGAGACCAAAGAGGCTTTTTTACCCTAATGATTTTCATGGATGGAAATAATGTTCTAGTGCGCGGTCGGTTGAAAATTTCATCAATTCCAGGTGCAACTATGTATCATATTATATTGCACGAAAATGAACTATCAATTGGACTGATGATTGAACATGCTCATGATAAATGCATGCACATCGTCACTGATTTTATACGGATTTACTTACAGCGAAATTGGGGACTTTGAGACTGAGAAAATCATTGAGGCAAACTCTTCATCACTGTTTCTCGTGCCGCCACTTTCGAAGTAAAGGATTAAATCTGTTTTATGGCTGATCTATCTTCCCAGCGGTTCCACGGCCCGGAAAAGTGTTTAATTCCTTTCAAGAAAAATGAATTGGATAGCACAAGTCCATCTACATCGCACAAAAACAAACTAAATACAAAAGTTACATTTGACTTTTCACACGCCTGCTCTTGTCATTCACTAACACGCGTTCATTTCACTTGGAAGCCACAGAAAATCTCTGAACGAAAAACTGCTCAACACCATTTCGAAGAATTATGAATTGAGTCGGAGTAGAGAAACTAATTCATCGGTTAATGCAACATGATCTGTAGCTGCTACTTATGCAACAGCCACTCAATTTCGACCAAGACCTAACTTTAGTGATTTAAGCAACAGACACTCAATTTCGACAGAGAATTCATTTTAGTGATTTATGAAACACCCATTCAATTTCGAACAATAGCTCACTTTAGTAGGGTGTGGGCCAGACTCGTATCCATATTAGAACGAGCTCTTCTTCGGAATTTAGGATCTGACAGACTCTCAGGAGTTTTCATCTCTAGTAGTCGAATGTAAAACTCTAAATAATTCAGCACCACTTATGACCAATTACTACTTACCCCGAAACACTTTTTTCTCGGACGGCCATTCATCTACTCTCCTTCCTATAGTTTCTACTCACAGCAAAGCACAAACAAAATGAGTACCAATCCTAGAAACCAACTAAAGGTCGATTGGACAGCTTTTGAAAATGACAACTCAAACAGTACGCTCCAATTTTGATCGATTGGGCCAGGTGAATTCAAACAAGAAATTATATAGAAAACCAACTTCGTTTATACTCTAAGCATTTGGAACATAGCTAAGATTTTGAAGTGCCTACAGGTCCTGGTGGCATCGTGCGCTCATGGGTAAAAAAAAACTGACATATAAACTTCAACTTTTTTTTATTGGCTGTGAAACTTGCCATAATTGAAAACAAAAATTTCTTAGACCTCCTAATCAGTTGTAGAACCAAGCCCCAAACACTTCGATCACCGTACCTAATTGCAATCCCGAGGCTATTCATGATGTGAAAAATAATTCATAGGAATAACTTTAAAAAATAACAAATTCCAATTCATGATTAGTAAGTTAGAAGAAATCGATCAAATTTTTGAATGATTTTATGACTTTCGACAAGGTAACAAAGATACTTTAGGGCACATGATGTACTTTCAGTCTTAATTACCAGTCAATGCAATCCTTGAATTGCAACCAAACCTTTATTTAATTTTTGAATCATACAACTTAGGTTTAAGAATCGCTGGCTGGGAGCTGAAGCTCGCAACACAGTTGATTACTGAAAGGAATACTAAATGCTTAACAGAGTAGAAAACTGCAATTTAAACTCTTAATTTAATTTTTCACTATGCCCAAGTCAAAAAAAAAGATTCAATGTGCAAAATTGCAAAAAAAATAGTTCGGTCTCCCCTCAAATTTGCTCAAAATTTGTCAATTTGGTTTCAAGTTGAATAAGGATATGGATTGGACATACTGAATCTTTTTTCGAATTGGGCATATTGGAAACTTGAATTTAGAATTCAAAGTGCAAGTCTCTACTGGCCTTGCTTGTCAGTGAAGATTTGGTGTTGGTTCTCTTTTGCCGTTGGATACGAAGCAATAAGCTGCTGATCGCAACGAATATATTTTCAACAGTTTAAAAAATAGCAACAATTGATAAATTAACGGACTTGTAATTATCGAATATAAATAATACTATAAATTATCGAAATCATCAGATAATGGGATTTTCGGAGAAAACACCCTGAACGTCTGCAAGAAGCCTCGTCCCATATATCCATTTGTGCTGAGAGCCACACTCCACTTCAAGCACTGCCTCGGTAGAATCTCCAGCATAATTATATGCTAAACTCCGAACGAAAAGAGTTTGGGGGTCACATCCCAAGTCGAGAAGAATGTCAACCAGATCTGCGTTGTTCTTGTCCGACAATATACCGTCTTGGAACTCTTTATATATCGGCCCCACAAAACCCCAATCTCCCAGTAAAGGTGGTTTCACTCCTAAAATTTACAATTCTTAATAATTTTTTGGCATTTATTTGATAGGAGAAACACATAAGCTCATGTCAAACGGTGAACGAATTTAGGCGGCCGGTTTTATTTGGTCATTTTCAGCGTTTGAAATAAAAATGGTCGTTTGCCACAGATACCTTGACGTCAATAAAGTGGTCAAACGTGAAGAAAATAGAACTGGTATCACTATTTTGTTTGAGGTTCGTTATCTCTGTTAAGTGTTCAATTCTTCGGAAATCAATTACGCCGCTGAAAGGACAATCCTTAAAAGTATTTGTTATAATGATACCTCCTAAGTGAGCTCAAAAGAAATCAAAATTTAAGTAGCATCCTCAAATTTTCTCACCTGATGTTGTTACCAGCAGACACATCACGGCCGCTCCAATTGTAGCTAAACATATTTGAATGAACTATAATGATTTCAAATTGAATCTTTCTTCGGAAACTTATGTTAAAAGAGGATTAAAATTAAATACTGGAAGTTTGGGTTTAAAAAAGCATCAGCCGCATATGAGGTAAGGTTTTTCCCCGTAGTAAACGTCAGAAAACGTAATACATATTTAAAAACTTTACCTACCAAAAAATTCAGCGGAAAACTTCATTCTCGAAAGTTTTCCGCTGAATTAGAAACGTTCAGAAAACGTAATACATATTTAAAAACTTTACCTACAAAAAATTCAGCGGAAAACTTCATTCTCGAAAGTTTTTTGAAATAGATTAGATTTTGAGCGAAACTATAATATTTCCCGATCTCTTTAACTGTTTCCCGCTATTGTTAAAAGGGGACTCGCAATGCTGAACCATTGATTTAGTTCATTATAGCGTTGGTTATTCTCTAAAAGATACCATAGGGGTAAAAAAGTTAAAGAGATCCGTATTTCATACCAAACAGTAATTTAACAATTGCTATAATGAGTTTCTGTCAATTTGGAAATCATAAAATGTCGATCCTGAAACACTAAAGCATAAGGTAAGTCTATTAGGTTGGGTCGAACCTCAAGCAGAGTCTATCAAAATTCACAGACAGGTTGTGCTGAAAATTTTAACTAGCCAGTATAATTATTTTCTAACCCAGTTCCCGCAAATTGAAAGGCCAGATTTCAAAAAATAGTTAGGATTTCATTTATTTACTAACAATTTCATCATTTACTAACAATCCTCATTTGTTCACACTGAACTAATTTTTAGGCAAATTGCGACCTTTTTCAACGCAAGTGTTTTTTGAAATGGGGACTTTAATCAAGGTTTTGAGCGGCATTTTTTGTTATACTTCTGGTTTCTCTAAGATAAGAACTTCAATTTTACAATATTAAAATCATAAAATTAAACTTGATATTAAAAAAGAACATGATTATAGAACATAACTTTACAATAGAAGTTTATTGCAACTACTAGTTGAAAAAAGTTGGCGGCTTCATCCTCTCGAAAAACATCGGAAAAATTTTTATAGTTTCTTTTCTTTAGACAAAAATACCAGTGCCGGGAGTTTTTACCAGCTAATTGCGCATCAACTGGATATTTTTCTTAAATTACAAAATTTTTGATGAATTTTCCGAGTTATAAAATTTTTATGTTTTGATAATGTTTGTTTATAATTGAGTTTCCCTTTACAAACATTTTTTTTGAACAACTTATTTCGATAAGCACTACTTCTTATGCACGAAGGTAACTGATTTTTATACTGACCATGTCAAGCTGATATATCAACCTTAATATCCACTTACTTTAAAGTCATAACAATTTCATATCATCAGAATAAAAACGGATTGACGGGTAGTTTTTCTGGATTCATCAGTCTATCAGTGAGTAATCATTCTACCTGCTAAAATTTGACTATCTGAAAATTGAAGTTTTTAGCAATCTTTCAGCATTCTAAAATTTGATTTAAAGAATTTAAATTTTTTACTCTAAAAATGTGAACTTGAAAACACGGCCTTTTTATTATAGCCATTTGCAAATACCAGAAAATAAATAAAAATTATGCTTTAAAACAAGCAAGAGCTTCAACAGACACGTTTACGATAGAAGACTTGACTATGATAAATCTGGAATTCGTCGTGATAAAAGACATTTTTCCAACAGTTTCGATTTTGTCGCTTTTATCCATGTTTTATGTCATAAGTCGCGCAGGTGTGTCTATACCAGCAATCACTTATTTTGAACTGTACTGAAAAAAAACATATAAATATTTTTTTCAGGCCAAGAAAAAACATTTGAAACATATTACGAGGCCAAATTGTGCATTTTGTGAATTGTAAGCAAATTCCACAACAGGCAAAAATCAAATTGCTTTTTTTCGCAAAAATCAAATTGCGAAGTCATTGCTATTTTTCTTTGATCTTCGCTACTGTTTTGGTTTCCACGGTCAAATAGCTAAAACACTGTGTTGCCCAAAATCGGTTCAAAAACAGACAACTTTGCGGAATCCGCAACAAAATATGTGGAAACCGGAACCATTTTGTGCTATCCATAAACAAATCATAGTATATGCGTTAACTAAACATCAGCTGTAGTGGAATTCGAAAAATGTAAGCGAAATCCGCACAAATTTGCGGAATCCTTTTACATTTGCGGAATCCGCTTACAATTGCGGAATCCGGTACAACTACCTACATTCGTTCGTTGCGAAATCCGCAACAAATTTATTGAGCTGAAAAAATTAACGATACAGCTTTTTGTACGCGGAACCCAGAAAATTTTGTAGGAGGAATTCAATTACATTTGGAACATGTTTAATGACTTGTCTCTGGAAACCGTGAACATTTAGACACAAAATTGTGCGATTATCCAGTCCACAGTTTGGCCTCGTAATTCAATTGTGCTCTTTGGATCAACTAAAAGCAAAATTGAACACTTTTCATTTTGTATTGTAATTTGTGTTTAGGAAAAGTGCCAGAGGTTCCAAGCTCCGAAAAAAAAACTAAAAATTTTTTCTGTTCATATCAAAGTTTTTGAAAAAAAAATTAGTGCAGGGAGATTCTTCAGCAATTGGTGCATCAATTGGCTGTTCATTTTAGACTGCACTTCCTTAATGACTATTCAAATTTTAAAAAATCAAACGATTTTAGTATTTTTGTTTGTTTGTTTTTGTTTTTATCTTGTATGTCTTTTTTGACCAAATTAATTTGATGAGCAATGACCATTTATGCTAAATGTCGACTGATCGCTTAGACTGATTATATAAATTTGATATATCAACCTGAATATTCACTTACTATCAAAGTATTACAACTTTAACTTAGCTGAAAAAAAACCTTCTACCTGCCTAAAGTTTGATCAATTAAGAATTTTTGGTGACCATTCAGCAGACAAAAAATTGAAATTGAAAACATTATTAGTCGTAAAATAATCACCTGGAATAACCACCACCTTTCCACAGCCTGCTGCGTTGACTCGGAAAGAATGAAAGTCAAATGGAACAATAAAATTGAAATAATCAAATAATCTTTTAAAATAATCAAAAGTTAACAATTTTTTGCCTAGCTCTTCTACACAAAAAATCTCTTTTTTTTTGTAATTTAGTTTTTGTTGAGTTATGGTATGATTGTTTTTTTGAATGTTTTATTTTTGTTAGGAAATGAAAAATCATGCCCGAAGTCGTTCTGAGTTTATCAGTCTTGTTTAGTTTCGGGAAAAGGACTTCTCACATTATAGAGAAGTCAATTACGAGTTATTGGTTCAAATTAAGAATACGATTTTATGCGATGTCACGCAATGTCAAATTTCTTTAAGCACAAATTCCAGTGCC